CAATTCTCACGCAGAAGATAATGTGCAAAAACCCTACTGAAAAGGAAAAAATAAATTTTAAACCTACAAAAACTTGAATTGTTTTAACCATAACCGAACATTTGTTTGTGTATATATTCATTTGCCGGTGCTGTCAATTAAAATTTCCTCACTTAATTAGTAAACAAAACAAACAGAGTTGATCATAAATTGATCCTGATTTCTATCAGCATCACATCGATGTTGAATTTGCTAACTTTTCTTTATCCAAATATGTAATGTAAAATAAAAGAAATCTCGATCGACGATCACTGAAACGCAGCTAGCAACTGTATACTCGAAAAAGCAATGTTGCCACTTTTTCTCTTTAAACCATGTTCGAATCGTGGAAATTTTGGAAGATCACAGGGTTGCTTTTAGCATTTAGATTCTTAATGCAAAAATGGAGTTGCATTTAGGTGGCGAATTTTGTATGGATAAATGTACATTTAGAGTAGCATTTAGAGCTAAATGCGCTAAATGTGCTTTTACGCGTAATGGGCTGTTTTTGCTTACGCGTAAAAGCACATTTAGCTCTAAATGCTACTCTAAATGTACATTTATCCATACGAAATTCGTCACCTAAATGCAACTAAATGCAACTCCATTTTTGCATTAAGAATCTAAATGCTAAAAGCAACCCTGTGATCTTCCAAAATTTCCACGATTCGAACATGGTTTAATGAGAAAAAGTGGCAACATTGCATTTTCGAGTATACAGTGGCTAGCTGCGTTTCAGTGATCTCCGACTGAGATTTCATTTATTATTTTACATTATTTGGATAAACAAAAGTTACGCAAATTCAACATCGATGTGATGCTGATAGAAATCTGGATCAATTTGTGATCAACTCCGATTGTTTTGTTTCCTAATTAAGTGAGGAAATTTTATTTGACAGCACCGACAAATGAATATATACACAAACAAATTTACGGTTATGGTTAAAACAATTCAATTTTTTCTATTGAATTTGGATTTTTTTGGTTAAAAATTTATTTTTTTCCTTTTCAGTAGGGTTTTTTTTGCACATTATCTTTTCCGTGAGAATTGATCGTAATAGATACGGATCTGAATAAGCGACTGGAACACGGCTGTTTGTCAAAAGCATACGATTTCGAACTCGCGTAAATGTACATTTGCTAAATGCTGTAGCATGAACGCTCTTCGAAAACATATGTTCGAAAGTGCTAAATGTTGCATTTTAAATGCAGCAAAAACGCTGCATAAGCAAAAACAGCCCATAAGAACGAAAGCCGCTAGTTTTTTGGGTTGAGAAACTGTTTCCAGCAAAAACTAGTGATAATTATCTGTAAAGAAACAAAGCTTATATCATGAAGAATACAGAACAACGCATGTATACACATAAATTAAAGAAAACCAAAGCGAGTGGATATTAGAGAAAAATTTGTGGTTATTGCTAAAAGGTATAATAAGTACATGGATTTCAGTACCAGAAGAACTGAAATCAGCAAAGGCAAATATTTTCTCTATAATTGCTGCATTCTATTACTTGCTAACCCGATCGCATTCTTCTGCATGAAAGCAACTGTCAAAAATTTCCAGCAGTAAAAAGTTACGAATTGGCACAGCAGAAATGTAAAATTTTCTCACCATAGTAAAAAGTTTTCCACCATAGAACTTTTCTACTGATTGGCACAGGCCCAAAGTGTCAAAGTGCATATCAGCCGTTTACTTTTTGCCTGCATTTACTTAGAGCTTTTAAGGAATAGTGAACGTCCGGTTGATATATTTTCAATCTTTATATACTTAAAATCAAATTTGTGAAACCGAAATTCAATTTCCAAGTATTTGCATGTGTGACAAAAACAAAAACAACGTGAATCAGCTATTTCTCAAATTCTTTTTTACGTTCCCATCCCAGCAAAAAATGGGTAATCGCTTTTAGTGGTAACGTGTTCTAGAAGGCATAGCGTTATAATGCCTTCGAATTTTTACGCTTCTTTTATGCATTGCTAGTATTGCAAAGTAGAATGTCCTACAATATTTTATTTATTTCGCTTCTTTGTTTCATTTCGGGGAATGCAAAGTAGAATGTCCTATACTATTTCCTTTTTAATTCGTTTCTTTGCTTCATTTCCGGGAAAGCAAAGTATAATGTCCTACAATATTTTATTTTTTTCGCTTCTTTACTTCATTTCAGGGAATGCAAAGTAGAATGTCCTCCAACATTTTATTTGTTTCGCTTCTTTGCTTCATTTGCTTCAGCTGAAAAATAGAATGAATATCCAAAAGTTCTTTTTCTACCGTTGCTTTCTGTGGAAATTTGTCTCGCATAAAAATCATGTTTTGCTTTGTTCAATTTGCAGCGAAGTTGAAGTCAGTCGATGAAGTGAAGTACAAGAGTGAGGAAGTACAATTTTAAGCTTAATTAATAATGAATGTATGCACATACCGATTTTTAAGAAAATCTAAATACCTAAATACATACATACATATGTTTGTATAAAAGCTGATTTATAAAAATTTTATTTAATTTTAATCTTTTAAGACATTTTCTGATTAAAATTTAATATAAATAAGTATGTACTTATCTAGGCATTCTACATTAGTTTCTCTGTAAGGCATTCTTTGTTCGCTTCTCTGGATTCTGTTTATCCATGCGTTCTCCCTTCGTTTGAAGGTAATGCTGCGGGTAAGGGCTTACCTCCAATGACATGCCCATGTTAAAATAAGGCCTTCTTGAAGCGAAAGGGTAAGCGATTCCCATCGCCTAGCTCGTTTCTACTTTCGTTCCTGTGGTAATCGTGTTTTTTGCTGGGATACTTCTGAACTTTGTTCCACTTTTGAGAGCAAACTTTTCGTTTAATATCTATCACTTTTGGTCGTAAATGTCTTCTTCTTCGTGCCCGAAACAGCTCGGACTTTTTTTCCGGGCACAAATCATCGCCCGGACGACGAAATGTGCAAATAGTTCATTGCCATAACAGCTGTTGTGGAAATTGAAAATGCTACAGAAGTTTCAGAAAATGTAGATATTAGCTAATTTTATTAGCCATATAAGATAAGTAGACATAAAATCATTATTTAAAGCTGATTTGCTAATTCTGGGCAGGAAATGTGATTTTTTTCTGCGTTCCTCGCGCTCTGGGCACTTTTGGCACTTGTTGACACTAGTGAGAGAGTAACTTATTTTTACGCTCTAATTACCGAAACAGCCCGGAAAGCGTGTGGAACAAAGCTATTGAATACTGAGTAACCATGAACGAATGACACAAGATCACGATTGGACAAGAGAGTGGAAAAAGTAGATTTTTTGAGCGGGTTCTACGCCATCTTGTTTCACTGGAAAACGAGCGAGATGTAAACAAAGCAAAGAAAAAACGAAAACCAAAATTAGCCAAAATTATTGTCAGCCACTGTAAACGCACAATGATAGTAAAATGATGCATTAAAATGTGTTGTCATGTTCAATGAACTCTTCTTTACTTAAATAAAAGTGTAAAATAGTGGTGCTTGTGATGTAAACAAATGCTCAGCTGACGAACCCGCTTTCGCAAACTTTTTTCTCAAAGCCAGTTACAAATACAGCACGATTGAGAGAATACAATTCTTGCAAATACAGCGTCGCGTTCTTACGTGATCTTTTATATTTGGTTCATGCTGAGTAGCAGTCCACTCAAAAGTCAGAATTCAGAAGAGCGCACTAAAAGAGTTGTTGGTGCGGTGTTGTTGTCGTCAATAAAGGCGAATTCATATAAGGTGGATTAAGTTTCGTTCCTCAACTTTTCTGGATAAAACTGTTATCTGTCAAAATACAAAATTGCTCTCAGAGAAAGAGAGAAAAACCAAAAAGTACGAGAACGCTTTTCGGGTAAAAACTGATAATACTTTTTCATATGTAGCTGTACATATGGAAGTTTCAGCATTTCTGAAATTTGCCGTTACATGAAAAGAGGGCGTAAGTTTGGCCTGACTTCAAAAATTTTCTACGCCTTGCTTTTGTGTGGCAAGTAGAATAATTATTAATTATAATTATGCCGAGTTTAGTACTAGTTGATCAAACGGTTAGCGAGATACACAATGTGTTCATAAGTACCAAGTTTGGTTAAGATACCTCAAGTTATTCAAGGTATCGTGTGCACAGAAGCATAAACGGACGGACAGACAATCAACAATGGGGTATATTCCCCCAATGGGGTACGTCTGGCAACCCTAGGTCGGAGAGATATCCGTTTACTTTTGACCACCTTAATTGGAATTTATGTTTTATTTTTCTGCAGTGGAATGACGTTCGCGGATAAAACTTCTCTTTGTTGATTCTTTTCTGCGGCTTCAGTAGTGCGACCACTGTCCGATTACTACAAATCACAAATAAAATTTCCATACTTGCAGCGCGCTTTGTCGGGTGGGACTTTGCGGTTAGCCAAAGCCTTATGTGAAGTTGAATGTTTTCAAATTCTTTTCCCATTTTTCCGCTTGTGTTGATTAACAAAGTATCGGATATTCAAATTGCGATTTCGAATGCGCAGATTCAGGGATCAATCTCCTGCAGATGCTCACGCTCATTCGCCGGTACAGCCACTTCACTAGAGAGCTTCCGAACGAAATGAAGCGAGCTGCTGTAGCAGTGACCGCCTTGCGAATTGGTGTTCGCCAGCATGAATCTCTGTTGGTTTTAGAAGAGTGGCGAAGGTGCTTTTCATAGCTTCCTCAAAGCCATCTTTAATTAAGAAGTAACCAAACCTTTAAAAAAATTTCGATGAATACTTACGCAAAATAAAACTAGTGTAAACAAAATATTGCTCAACAATTTACTCCAATGCAGAGTTATTTAGCTAAAGCAATAATTTACTCCAATAAATCCAAAGATTCAAAGCAAAAGGAAAATTCTACCAAAAAAAAAAAGACTTTCGAATCATACCAAATTTTCATTGTCTTGAAAGAATTATGTAATAAGAGTTGCACTTGCATTTTTAGTTTATCTCTAAATTAAAAAGAAATTTAATACTCGCATCAGCAATTTTTCTTACCGTATTTACAATAGCGACATATTTATTGTGCTGTGTTAATGAGTGTTTTATATTTGTAAATGTTATTGGTACAGTATACATGTATGTATTTATGTATATATTTTTATGTGTGAAAACTTATTAACTTGTAAGTACAACAAAGATAAAGTCCAACTAATGACTCAAGTCGGCCCAGGTATAACACATATATATGAGTATAATTTAGATTATTATAGTATACGTTTTAGGCATTCACAATCGATTTAAATTTTTAGCGCGCGAATTCGTTAATTGGTAAAAGTACACGTTTTTCTAATAATGATTGCTGCCACGGTCCGAGTATTTTCCGCTCACTTTGCTTATTGAATAATGGTCCGAGTACCCATCATATTTATTATTTCCTTTATACGAAATTTCTTTGGTAGGTACGTAGCCGATGTTATTTTGCCAATGTCGTGTCCAATAAAGATTTTCGTTGCGCACTTGAGAAGGAGTTTTGGCATCTCTGCAAACATGTACGCAGTATATCATGCACCCAATGAGAGTAAGGAATCCAAATATCAAAAATATAATCCCAAGTATCCTTAATCAGATTGCGAGAAATTGAGCGATTAATATCAATAGCAATGTCAAATGACTATAAAACAAAACATACCACACGTAAAGAGGTTCATAGAATTGAACCACAATTACAAAGCCTAATGTTACAAGAATTAGACCTAAATTGAGGAGCAGCATAAGGCAGCAAACGCCTTTTATGTTAGGGCAAAATGGATTTGGAGCCGACATTGCATCGATTTTTACTCCACGTTTCGTTGTTGAATGAGCACTCTGACCAGTCTTCGCGGTACTTGCAACCGAATAAACGCTATGTGACGCTCCGCGGGACTGTGGCCGATGGCTGTAGCGACTATGGAGGAAATGAACGTAAAAAACGAAAAACTTATTGTTAATTTTTGTGGGTGTACTTTAAACAAATAATGTAAATTTTCCGGTATTTTAGACCAAGACCTATCTTATGCTATTACAGGTGTTTAACACTAGAAAGACGGACAGGAGTCAATTGAAGTATTTTCATATTTGACTGCCAATATTTCTTTTGCAAGCTGGTTTTCTAAATTGACTTTTCGTGTCTTTTATTAAAAATGCATAAAAATTTATTTAAAAGCATTCCTATTTCATTGAGGTGTTTCAAACTGAAATAAATAGTATAGCTACCAAAAACACGGATAGCGTCATTTGATCTCACTGGCAAACATGTACATACCGCACACCGTCTTCAAAAGAGTGACAACTCAAAATAATGAAAATGCGAAAAATTATTTCTTAGCACATGATAATCATATGGACAAGGGCGACTTTACCTTATGTTTTTGTTTTTAACAAATTATAACAAAAACTTGCCCCAGCTTTTGCTGAAAGNCTTTTTCTTAGCACATGATAATCATATGGACAAGGGCGACTTTACCTTATGTGTTTGTTTTTAACAAATTATAACAAAAACTTGCCCCAGCTTTTGCTGAAAGGTAAATAAAATCTCTGTGTAAATTTTTATCGCATAGTCTCAAAAATGCCAAATTTAGAGTTGTGACTCTTCTGAAGACGGCATGCGATGTATCAAGTATTTTTTGTTACTAAAATAAGAAAATAAAAATGAGAATTAAATATTTTTATTGTTATTTTTAAAATTAATTAACAGTTTTTAATTTAAAATTATAAGTATTTTGTTACTAAAATTAATTTCAAAAAATTGGGCTCAAAAGGGGTCATCCCTATCCGTCTTTCAAGTTATGTTGATTTTTCAGTCTGTCTAGTGCTTAATACAAAAAAGTAAAAATCCCAACCCAAGGACATCCAAAAAAAACTTCTCTAAAATCTCATCAAATTTTACCTTATTTCCGAGGGCTCCTTGTAAGCGGCACTGGTCACATAGATTTCACTACTCACATCTCCACCTTGATCATAGCTTAGAGCAGATAGGGTGCGTGTTTGTGGTGACCCATTAGACCATTTTTGATTATATATTACACTAGTCTCGTCTGCTGGACTTTGATGATTTTGATATAAATTCATTTTGCGAGCAGATGTATATGGATACTCTTGGGCAACTGTATATCCGCCGATTGCGGGCCCGGACGCTGCATTGTGTGATTCTTCACCATCTGTAGAATAAGCACGATTGGAATGCGAATATGGAGGATATCCAACAGGTTGACTGTGTGTAGCAACATAATGTCCACCTTTGACTCTAAAAGAAATAAAAAAAGGTAGCCTTTATTAATAAAGGCGGATTCATCGTTCTAGTTCCTAACATTTTCTTCCATGTGGTTGTTGTTGTGTTTCTCTTTCTGTGAGGAAAGGAAGTTCTGAACTAACACGATGAATCCGCCTTAGGAGTTGTTAAATACATACAAAATCAATATTATTCATTGTAATTAATAATTAGCAGGGAACGGATTTTATGGATTATGCGTTTTTTTCTGCTAAAGAAATAGAGTTTATCCGAATAAGAATGTCCACGATTCGGTTTTCCCTGATTCCATATATACATATTTGATTTTGCCCTTTTTTGAGATATTTGCCTTTTCTACCTTTAATTGTAAACGGCAAGGAAAAAGCCCTTATGATAATATGAAAGTTTTAAACGTTCCATATTTAAAATGGGCGCCATTTATATCAACTCACATTAAGCGCACGTTTAGTACATTCAAGGCTTTTGTTCGCGAAAATCTAATGAAAATGCTGCCAGAAAACTTCAAAAGGCATCTTGTGGTTCAATGTTACTATAACTACAGTGATTAAAGTTTTGTGAGTTAAAAACTCGGAAGGAGCAAACAGTAAACAATTCGAAGTCCAAATTGTTCATATAATGAAACTAGTTCATAGGTTTTCTCCTTTTACTTGTAAAATAAACATTTCTAAAATAAATGTATTTTTATACCCGAGCGCACTTGTGCACAAGGGTATATTAATTTTGTTCACATAACGGTTGTTTGTAACAGCCAAAACGAATCGAGATAGATATAGACAAATGTATACATAAATGATCAGGATGAAAAAAGAAATCGATTAAGCCATGTCTGTCTGTCCGTCCGTCTGTCCGTCTGTCCGTCTGTCCGTGTACACGATAACTCGAGTAAAAATTGAGATATCTCAACGAAATTTGGTATGTAGGTTTCCCTTAATCCAAGGTAGGTTGCTATTGAAAATGGGCGAAATCGGACTGTAACCACGCCCACTTCCCATATAACGGTAATTTCCAGAAATACGAAAACTGCGATATTTTAGTAACTACTGAAGATAATTCACTCAAAATTGATATTTACAATAATTTTTAGA